CTTAACTTTAGCATTTCCTGGGCTGTGGGAGCACCTACTTATTGCTTGGTGCTGTATAAACACAAGATGATGCTCCCTCTCCTGAGTCTAACGTCAAAAATCCCCTGATGGAATAAAACAAATCTGGGGATCACCTGGCTATCTGGTTAGGAAGGAGCCTGGGGACCAAGCTCACTGCACAAGGGCTGAATAAAGTCACAGCAGAGCACGGATTTCAGGAGTCCAAAAAGAATTGTATCTGAACTTACAATTTAACCCAAGAGGGAGTCATCTCCACCTTGGGTTGTCCTGTTTGACATTTAGGAAGACAGCTTGGGTCCTGCTAAACTTTACGGCACCAAGTTCCACTGCTGGTGTGGAGCCACATCCCCTCCAGTGTGACCCTACTCTCCTTCTTCCTACCCGCCCCTACACACTCCCTCCATTCTCGAGGATGCTGTTCCCTGATGACACAAACCCACATGGGTTTGCATGCAAGGACCATTTCCCAAGGTAATTAAAATAACTTCATTAGTGTTGTGAGGCTCCAGAACCTTCTCCCCTTGTTGTTGTTATTCATCTCTGCAGCTCAGTGTTGGAGCTCAAAGCTCCCAATTCAGAGAAGTTGGAACTGTTGGGCTTTTAGTAATGGTCTTTCCAAAGTGTCACTGGAGACAAGGGGAGAAATCTACTCTCTGCCATGTCAGCCAGACCAAGGGGGAAGGGGCTTAAGATGTTGCCAAAAGGATGGGGGTTGATGATTGGGAAAACCTTTCTAACACCAAGGCTTGTTGGGGCAGGAGTGGGAGATGGCACCATCCCTCCCACACTGCTCTTCCATCCATGTGCAAGAGTCAAGCTGGCAGCAAGATCAAGGCCAGCACAACCAAGCAGTGCCAGCACTACTGAGGCACAAAATCTGAGGTTTGAGCTGAAAAGATTTAAGAATGCTGTTTCTTTGGTATTTCAAGGAGACTTGAGGTTGGGCTAATGTGTAGATGCCTGTGACAAGTTGTCATGGTTCAGCCCCAGCTGGTAACTAAAGCCCACGCAGCCACTCGCTCACTGCCTCCCCAGTGGGATGGGGGAGAGAATGGGAAGAGGATGGGAAAACTCATGGGTTGAGATAAATACAGTTTAATAGGTAAAGCAAAAGCTACACACAGCAGCAAAACAAGGAATTCATTCACCACTTCCCATGATCAGCCATCTCCAAGAAAGCTGGGCTCCATCACATGCAATGGTGACTTGGGAAGACAAACAAACAAACACCATCACTCCCAAAGTCCCCTTTTCCTTCTTCCCCCAGCTTTATATCCTGAGGATAATGTTACATGGTCTGGAATACCCCTTGGGTCAGTTGTCCTGGCTGTGTCCCCTTCCAACTCCTTGTGTACCCTCAGACTACTCACTGGTGGTGAGGAGCAGAAGACTGACTGTATAAGCAGTATATTACTCAGGAGTATATATATATATACTCAGCAGTATATATATACAGTATATAAGCAGTATATATTACTCAGCAGTAATGAAAACATCCCTGTATTACCAACACTGTTCCCAGCACAAATCCAAACACCGCCTCGTAACAGCTACTATGAAGACAATTAATTCTACCTCATCCCAAACCAAGTACCCAAGTATAAATGTTATAAATCATTACATGGCTCTATGAAACTTCACTTAAGCATATGATTTAAAAAAATCAATCTAACTGTATTGCTATTGTCTCTTTACACAGTCACATTTAGACTAATATAAAGCAGCTTTATAGTGCTACAGATTGCTCTTCCCATATTAAACTAGCTATAGCAATACCAACCACCTTCATGCAAATGAGTTGCCACAACTGCCACCAAATCACTGTCATCAACTAGAGCTTTGGTGTGCACACAAGCCTATCGTATGTGCCTCTAAAACTCTCCCCAGCACACCGAACTCAGCTACATGATCATACTTTCCCCTAAATGCTTGACTATTAAACTTCCTCTACTTCCTGAGGGTTTGAATCCCTTGCTGCACACCCAGTAAAACTATTTTGGGATCTGAGACTGGAATTGATTTTTTCTTAGCTGGGCCATAAGTATCTTTGAAAATCCCTCCATGTATGAACAACGGCTTTTAACAGAGGTCATGCAATCAAATTGCTTTGAACTCTAATAACAGTTAAGCCTCTCAACTCTTTAGGCTTATTTGAAAATCCAACCATGAAGTTTAGATTATTTTAACCTAAGAAGAATTGGAAGTAAACTATTGAAAACCACACCCCTCCTAGGCCTACAGTATTGAGTGTGGGTATTAATAGGAGAGGAAAGCAAAAGGAGCTATAAACGAAGAAGTGACCTATAAGGTTTGATTACTTTTTTATTAAGCAGAAAAATCAATACATTAACGATGAGAAACTAATTAGGTGTATTAAAATTCTTCTGGTTTCAATAATCAAATATGCCATTAGGCACTGATGAAGCTTAGGCTTATACACCATGTGACATTTAGAATTTAGAACATTTGTTTAAAGAGGAAAAGAAGCACTTTCTAAAGCATCCTGTCAAGAGCCAAATTCATCATAAGGAAGAAATCTTTTATGATGAGGGAAGGAGGCGCTGGCACAGGGTGCCCAGAGAAGCTGTGGCTGCCCCATCCCTGGCAGTGTTCAAGGCCAGGTTGGATGGGGCTTGAAGCAACCTGCTCTAGTGGAAGGTGCCCTGCCCATGGCAGGGGGTTGGAACTGGAAGAGCTTTAAGGTCCTTTCCAACTCAAACCAGTCTGGGATTCAATGCTGTTTGAGCAGACAGGTACCTCTCCTCTACCTCTGCTCAGCCAGCAGCACGCCTCTGGGTTTGCAGAGCATCCAGCGTAGCCCCACAAGTGGGGTACCACAGCCCTTGTGTATAGAAACCATCTGGAGCTTTAGGGTAGGGGTGCTGAACACAACTATTTCCTCCAAAGACTTCAAAAACCTGGGTTTTTCTCCACTGATGGTGACATGCTTTGGCACAGGCTTGTAGAGCCCAATTCAGAAAGGAAGCTGAACACGAGACCTCCCTTTAGCCCACTGCACTGGCAGCTTCCAGCCAAACCTGACTGAAGGAAGGCTCTTTGCACTGTGTTTCTACTGGCCACACCTGGAATGTTTCAGAGAAATGGGCTTTTCTTTACCAGAGCAGTTTTGGCAGGACAAAACCTGGCCCCTCCGCTGCTGGGATTCGCATGGCTGCCACTTCTGGAAGGGCAAGGGCCAGGATGCTGCATCCACGTTGTAGTTGGCACTGATTTCATGCACTACAGAACTGAATCAACTCCTAAGGGAATGCTGCCACCCAATAATTTACATAGTTAAAAGGAATATAAACACCAGCGTGCCATGAAGCGCAGTGTATGAGGCTCCTCTGTGTGGCATTCAGGGGGATCTTTGGGGTGCAGCAGTAAGAAGTCCCATTTCCAGCAGTGATTTGGCCATGCCTATCCTGCACTGAGTGATTTTGACTAACACTGATCCTTAGCCTCCTCGGTTCTCCCACAGCCACACTGGAATACACAAGGTTAGGTCTCCAAAATGAAGGAAAACACCTAAAATTGCCCATTTCCTTAACCATTAAAAAGAATTCTTGTTCCCATAATATGGTTTCTGGGTTTTCTCTCCTCCCTCCTCTTTGCTTGGAGATACTGTCATCCTTCTCCCTTTGGTGCTATTTCCGTATGAAACAGACTGATTTTAATTTAATCAAAGAACGAAAAAGCACACATTTAATAAAGTTTACGGGTACTGAGAGGCTGTGCTCTCTTTTTGCTGGCGGCAGCAACCTGGAAAGAGGGGGCAGGTTTATGAAGAAAGGGGAAAACACAGAATTACCCACTTGTGTCTGATTTTAGGTTCCTAACCTAAAGGTATTCCATGGAGGAGGGGGGCTCTGCCTGCTGTGAACTCCTCAGTGGCATTGCTGGTGTTGTTTCTACGACCTCTATCTCCCACTCCATGTTTCTCCAGCAAGGAATACTGTCATATTCCTTTCTTTAGGTTGCAAAAAGCCTTGCAAAGCCCAGGTCTTCACAGCTCCCCCCACCAGCCACCGCTCAGCCCTGCTACGTCCACAGCATTTTGCCACGGTGTTTGATGAATTCCTGCTTTCCCTTGACCTGGTAGGAGAGGAACGGACCCACTGCATGAAACCTGAGGTGGAAGCAATTCACCAAGAAATATATACAGCGGAGCAGCCCCCCCTGTATCGGGTTTTCTGTGTGGTCAAGTAAAGTGATATTCTATTTACTTTTTTAGATGTATAAACAGATTAAGTCCCAGGGAAAATATACTCCCAAACTTCATCTATTTTATTAAACCACCGAAGTTTAATATAATCTTTTGGCTTCCAGGGAAAAATTTTCCATTTCTTTTCTGAGCACCTTTGATTTTATTTTCTTTTAATTACCACTATCCGGAGTTAACAGTGTGGGTTTTGCACTCCACCCAGCCAGGACTATCCAGATTAGGAGTGGGGAATTTTGCTGAAACACAGGAATATCGATGTGGTGGTGAGAAGTCAGCAACGCCTGGGTGGAAAACTCTGGAGAAGCCGATGTGCAGAATGAATTCCCCTCCGCCAGGCAATAACGAGGCTGCATTCCTCAATTCATTGCATTTATTACCTAAGACATTGGCCAGCCATAGCTTTGGAATGATACCTCCTCCATCTTATGCCTGTCCACACCGCTGTGTGGAGGCAGCACAGCTCATTGCTCCATAGGGAAGGCTCTCATTAACTCAGGTCCAATGCTGCCCTTGGGCTCAGGACTGTGTGAATGCAGCTTTGGATGCATTGCCTATGTGGGTGTGAAGTTCCTAGTGAAGGCCAACGCTGTGCTGAGCCTTGAGCACACCATTTGGCCCAGGATCTTCCAAATCAGATGACCAAGAAATGCCCTATGGACAGCCTGGCTCATGGTGAAAGCTGCTGGGAGCCAGCAGAGCTCTTCAAGACTCAGGACCTGCATTTCAGCATGGTTAAATATGACTAATAATGGTAATCAAGATGACTGTGTAACTTCTGGAGGCCAAATTCACTGGTGTGAGTGTTACCTGAGGTCCTCAGCACAGCAGAGAGACTTCAAACGCAGCTTATCCTCCACAAGTACATCTCCCTTGCCAAACTTCTTTGCAGCTTCCTCTCCTGCAACTCAGAACAGTGACAGTAAAGGAAGCCCCTTCTTCCCAGCATCGGGCCTCTGTGAGTTCCTCCATTAACACTGGGGCAATGGTGATGTTGTAGACAGGATTAGACCTGCTCAGCCATAGTTTCTCCAGCTCATTTCTTTTGTTCTTTCACCAACAGCTGTGATTTAGGGCATGTGAGCAACATCTAAAGGAAATGACTGAGAGGTGCTGGCTGGGGAGCACTTACCTTCCCTTGTACAGGGCTTATGGAACAGAATCAATAGATTTTCTATACTGCTCACTGCTGGAGACCTGGGCACAGAAGAAATGGCAATGGAGTGAAAAAATCCTCCTGAGAAGGACAAGTTTAAGAGCAGAGGAAAGCAGCTGAACACATCCTATGAATCTATCATGATCCTAATTACCTGCCTCCCTGCACGCTGCCTGTCTGCAGCAATCCAGGGCTCTCCCGGTGCCTCAGCAGCTTCCTGGGACCCATGCATTCAGGGGGTGCAGAAGAGTGTGTGCTTTGCCCTCCAAGCACTTCATCAATTCAGCAGCATCACAGGATTTGCTGGATTGCCAGCAGCCATCTCCTCCTGGTGGTTTAAATCAGCTCTTCTGAACAAGAGGTGATTTTTTGGCTCTGATTAAGCTCAGATGGGGTCTGCTGTTCCAAGTGAAGCCACAGTCCAAAGATCCAGGGGCATATTCAACCCTACAGACACATCTCTACCGCCTGCCATAGGAATTATAAAGATATAGACCATGACATCAGTATACCATGATCTAAAACAACCCTCACTGTAGTTCCCTGGAACTCAAACCCAGCGCTGACCTGAGCCCAAACTCCTCCATTTTCCACAATGAGAAGATTTAAGGTTAAATGAAGAAACTATATGCATGGCTGCCTGCATGAGATGCTCAGGGCTCAGAGCATGGCCAGCTCTGCCTGTATAAACTGGATATTGCCCCTGTATGTTTTGGTGAGTAAGAGGTGCCCTATGAGCTCTGCCTGGTCTGCAGTTACCCCGGCTGGCACAAGCTGTGTCATCCAGAGCAGACGCTCATGTAAGAGGTGTCTGGAAGATGCTGCTGGCATAGGAATGCACATACACCTCATCCCATCTGCCATCAGGATCCCATCTGGACTTTCACTGCCTGCTTATCAACGGAAGGGTTGCCCAGTCTCCTGTTGGAGCCCAACCCTGGCCACAGCACCTGATCCCAGTGTGGATCCTTCCTCCATCAATCAGAATCCATGGCTTGTTTTCCAGGCAGTGCAGGAATGTCCATCTGAAGTCGGAATTTCACGTTTCAACCACCTAAACCCCTGTTAGACACAGCACACCCCAAAGCCGGGGAGCTCACAGGGAGAGCGCGGAGGTCTTGGTGTATATTGGACCCTTAGCATTGGCATTCCAGAGGGAAATGCTGCAAAGGAGCCTGCCTGGACACAACCACTGCCCAGCCAGCTAAATTGGCTGGGTGAATTCATCCTGGTTTGACACTCCGTATTTTACCAGCTTTCCTCAAGAGAAAATCATCATATGCTTCTACTTTTTGAGGAGCTGAAGCTGTCCTTTAGACAGCAGCTGCCAGCATAAATATACATGAGAAACAGGTTGGAGTTCCTGAAAAATGCCTAAAAGTTGTAAACAATTCCCAAGTCATGTAGGGATAAACATCAGAGTTTCAATATCGTTTAGAGTTGAAAAGAACAACAGCCGTTGGAGCTCAGGCAAGCCAAGGGGTTGGGACAGATAGTGTTTAAACATTTGGTTTCAATTCTCCCAAACCTTCTGCAGAGAAGCCCCATTCATGCTACACTTTGCTTACAATTCAAACTGAAAAGTATTATGGCCTAGCAAACCGGACGTTTCTATTTCAAAAGAAGAAATGGTCTCAGATGGGGCCACCTTGGAAGCCCCTTTCAGAAAGCAAAACCAAAACCACTCACTCAAGAAGTTAATCCAGGCTCCTCTTCTGCTTCAAGTTTGAGTTAGGTTGGATGAGTTGTTTGCTTTGCTTAACAAACAAGAGTATTCTGACAAAACAAATCCCTGACGAGTCCCATTTGTCAGGCTGGGAGCAGGAACGTTCCTCTTTGGTGCAGTCCGCCTCCCGTCAGCACACAGCACAGCACAGGCAGAGCGCAAAACAGAGTCCTTTAATTTCCTCTTCGCATTAGAGTTCATTAGGAACAATCCAGAGGCCCCCTCATTGAGCAAATGTATGCATTTGCATGTCTTCTGTGGGTGTTTAAGTTGGATTTTCCTGTGGGGTTTGTTTGTTTCTTGTGTCTTTCCTGCACCACTGACACTGGGCTCCTCCTCTGCTCACAGTTAACCTCCTAAATCAATTTTTTTCACTTCTGTCCCTGCATCACAGCTGGATGGTTCACAGGACATCATTTTCTAGCTCAGCTGTTCAGAAACCACCTATTTCAGCTATTTGTTGGTATTAATGCTTACTCTGTCAAGTTTCATGGCAGTACTCCCATTCCCAGGCTGGATAAGGCATCTCTCAGGAAGAAAGGAGGATAAAATACTTACTAATAAACCTTACGGGGGTGCATTTTGGATGCTTCACTGCTCCTCCTAAGATGTACCAGATCTGAGGGTTTCTTGAAGCAGTATTGATTGCTAACAGCTTCAATCACCAAATTCCACTTTGTGATTGCATTCATTAAATACTGCAGGTCTGGACTTCGAAAGTTCAGTCAATTCTTCTATCACTAGACCAGCTTTTGGTCAAAAAAATAAGAGTTAAACCCTGTCTTCAAGCTTGTGGCTCCTATTAAGGTACTTGATTTCCAACACAGAACAAATGGGAACTAAATCCTTTTTTGTTCCTATATATTGCCCTAAATGCCCCATTACGGGAACAGGGTTCTATAGGCTCAGGAACCCAGTGTCTCTATTCTTGACCATGATGGCCAACTCTGTTGCCCTAAACACGTTCCTGATCTCCAGCCTGCCTTGGCTTTTTCCTTCCTAACCCAAAGGCTCTGCTTTCCCATTTGCTTCCCTGCCTGAGCTCTGGCCATCAGGAAGGTTTTGGCCTTTCCCCCATCCCTACGAGGTCCTCGGTAGCTTGTACACACACCAGGGAAAACCACCTCAAACAAGCTGTTAGACTGCACAGCCCTTCAGCGGTGTTCCTTGTTCCAGCCCTGAGCCATGCTGCTCATGAGGAGGGCAGCACTGCAGATTCCCACCCGTTGCAAAGCTGTCTGCTGCCTGAGACCATCCGGGATGCAGATGGGATAGCAAATTAACTGCAGTCTGTGGGGCATCACTGATGAACAGCAAGGGAGACCAATTCCCTGTTGCCTGGATGCATTTCCTTCCAGCAGGAGTATTTTGGCTTATCTTCCTCTATCTGCTAGCTGAGTTTTAGGCTCCTAGGGGAGGATGCAGGAGAAGCAGAAGAAGGGAGAAGGACAAGATCTCCAAATCAGTCATCCCCAGCCTGTTCTGCCCAGGGGCACCAGCACTAAAGCTGAACGACGAGCCAAACAGGACAGCCTACTACTTGTTCTCCTACACAGGACCTCAGGGCCTCACAGGCAACATATTGCTTCAGAATATAGTTGTCCTCTGATCCAGACTTCCTAGACAGACACGGACCTGCTTTTGGGTGTTTGTGTGTGAGACTGGAGTGTTCTGAACATTGGCGAGCTCTCCACGCGCATCAGGGAGTTACTGCTCTGAAATACAGGGGGGGCAACAGAAAAAAAGACTCCCAGATGTTGCACTTGACTTTCTATCAGGCTCTTTGCTACCTGTGTGGCCCTGGCAGAGCACCGGGGCTTCTTGGATGTGAGCTCCTGTGCTCCTGTTGGATCCATCCTGAGATAGGGAGCTGGCTGGTGGTCAGAGAGGAGAAGCCAAGCTGCAGCTATTCCCTCCCAACCCGTGGGCTGTGCTCCAGTATCTCTGCAGAGAGAAGGAAAGATGTTTTTTATTAATCAAATGAAATACACATTGAAGAGATGAAAGGGAAGGTTCAAGGGAGCTGCAGGTGGGAGACACCGAGTTCTGTAAGGCTCGCTCTTGCAGGAGTGCTATTTGTCCTTCACGTTCATCTGCTCCATCCCCAACTTGGCCTTGGAGCAATGTGGCTTTTCCACCCCATCCTTCCTCCCAGCCTTCATTCCCCCAAGCACACCCACGGTGTCTCTGGGCACTGGCAAGCATCAACCATCACGCTCCACATATTGCCTGTTCGGAGCTGCCCGCACACAATGCTCAGTACAGAAAAAGGAGTAATTCTATCAGATAGGGGTGTTGGGGATTTCCTTGCTCAGCCCTTGGCCACCATCCTTTCCTGTACCAACCTCCCAAACCCAGACTGAAGCAAACGAATGAGCTTCAGAGCATGAAAATTACTCTCTGCCTTTGTAATCCCAGTTCAAATTTATCAACATAAAACCTACTAGTTTCCTTTGACTAATCCTTGCTGGAAACTCCTTTTCCAAGCTCTCTTTCCTCTCCAGCACCACCACACCCATCTCCAACCAGAAATGACACCAAGAAGTCCTGCAGCCATCCATACACCCAGGGTGTAGCTCCATCCTCAGGCTTTGATTTAAGCACTTTGCACCATGGTCAATTGGAAGCAGAGACATTCAATCATCCTCCTTTTCTTTTTAGACTCCAGCCCACAAGCACTGAAACGCAGCCAAGTTTGGAAGGTGTTGGTACTTTGGTGGACAGCTGATCTCTGTGAAAGGATATGCAAGCCAGCTCAGGAGGATATTGCATTCCCAGGCAACTGAAGCATATTTCTCCTTTTACATCGAATTCTCTGCTACCTTTTGGCAGAAGTCTCTCTATGCATCGGGTCTTGTTTGATGGTTCATACACTTGGCATCCTCATGCTCAGTTTAGGTGCCTCAGAACACCAAGCCTGCAAGGGTTTGTATTTGTGCACCACCCACATCAACTCACATTAAGCACAGTGAGGTCCTGATCATTTCTGACCTTCTCCACGCCATCAAGCAAGAGCTGACCTAGCGTTCTGCAGCTGCTGGGTCCAGCCAGCCCTTTAGCAGTCACTGTAGCAGGTTCAAACTGCAAGGTTCAGTCTCCAAAGGGCCAGAGGATGTGGATGGAGGAGGCTGGGACTCGGAAGGGGGAACCTCTCCTGGTTCAGTGCAGCCCTGCGCTGTATTTCCCTGTTGGGTCAGTTGTAATGGGAAATGACAGCTGATGAAAGCTGCTATTCATGGCCCTCTAAACAGCTCGTTACCCCCCTCCTCATCCCAGCCCCTCAGTGAGATTCCCTCTGGCTTCAATCCAAGGCCAGGAGATCCTACTCCAAGTACATTGCTAGTGCTGCTGATGGCATGCTTCGAGTGAGACACCGACACAAACCAAAGCCCCATTTGTTCATCTCTGCAGGTACCTCCCAAAATCACTCCAGATGTGTACACATCTGGGGACACACACACAGAGCAGGCACATTTAGCGCTCTGCTGTTACCTGTATTCAGCCCCCTTTGTCCCTCCAGGACACACACTGATGATTTGCTATAGGAGTGCCATACCACTTCAAACCTGAAATGCCTTCTCCAAGCCATGGGGCTCCAAGACATCCCCCTTCTTCTCTACTTTGCCAGCTCTCAAAGACTTTTGCTCACTAGCCAGCAGTGGTTTTCTAACCATTAACCACTGGGGTGGCTTCCTGCACAAGGTATCCAGAATTTAGGCTGGATCCTCAAAGGTGCTAGGCAGCTCCACAGCATGAGGTGTAGGCTGAAAAGCTGGAGGAGGACTCAGAGAAGACCCATAAGAATGGCTGAAGTCCTGGAAAGCCCTGGAAATCCTGCCATGAGTGATGGAGCCAAGCAAAATCCATCTGGCTTAACAGCAACCCTTTCTCAGTCTGTAAGAGAAGAGATCCAAGACCTACAATGATCTGAGCTTGGACCAGAGCCTTTGGTCACTCATTTAGGTGCCTGAGTTTGATCATCTAAGTCTGGATTTAATCATCCTCTGCTGGCCAGCTGTGCTATGGAGTATGAATGAATTCTTCTACCTTGTAGTTCTGAGACTTAATGGATGTAAATGATTTTAACACAATGTAGGGGTACCAGGAGAATAACTCCTACCCACGGCCCTAAGACTGCAAGAGAGGCAGCCAAATAAAGGCTAAATACAGCTTTTTGGAAAGAAAGCTCAAAAAAACCCCAACTCTTGCCTCTAAAACTGACTGTGGATCATTTTACAAGTAAGGGATCTCTATATGGGATACTTAAAGGCAGACATTTCAGCAAGGATAACTTGGTGGATAACTGGATAGCAGCAGTGGCCAGGGTCAGCTACTGGTGCTTTTCCTTCTGGAGCCCCTGATGGTGCCACAACTGCAGTCAGTGGGGATGGATAGAATTCCTTCAGCATAATCTATTCCTCCTAGGGTCGTCCATCTGCTGGAACAATCCCTCTTCTCCTTGCCTTTGCATGCATTGAAAATACTGTCCAGGAATATACTCACCAAAGCTTTGGAGTTGAAGTCCGTGCCATGGATCACTAATGGGGTACTCTCTGTGGGAACACTTGTGCACCATCAACTGTCAAAGCAAGAGGATGGCCTGGGAAGGATGTATTGAATCAGTGCCATGAGCCTCCTAAAGCCAAGTGCCAAAACCTTGTTAGCCCCCAACCTGAGAAGAACCAGAAGCATTAAAAGGCTCCTGGGGATAACAGCCCCAAAGCAACACCTATTCACTACCCAAGTCTCTGGGAACCCAGCAAAGCTTCTTTTTGTGACTGGTTGTGGAAGAAGCCACATCCAACACTTCTGGTACACAGTAACAGTCTGTCCCCCACTATGGGATAGGGGGAAAAGGAAGGAAGTTCCAAGCAACCATCACTAGTATATTAAGCCAAATACTTCTCGTTGTTCTCACATCCACCTCCCACCCATCCTCCATTTAGCTTTCTGAGGATAAGGACCTACAGAAACTGGAACTTAGCCATCACTCTTCATACTTCACAGCAGAAACCTTCATGCCCAGAGGAGCTCAGTGTTCAACAGCTCCATAGGAGCAGGATATGGGGCAGCTGGGATTTTCAAAGGGGCTGGTAGGGCCGTGAGCTGCTGCTATTGACTGTGAAGAGGAAGGACCAGGGGATCTGTGCCTCTCTGGAAGGATTTCCATTTCCACAGCAGGCTTTCAAAACATTAGCAGCCACCGCCTAAGCAGCAAAATGTCTATTTGTGGGTAATAAACCCAGACAGATGCCTCCTGCACGCAGCCAGTGCCTCTGAGACAAGAGGCTCTAAATAAATAATCAACAAATCCTAGAGCTGAATGCACAGTTGCTATTTGCATCATAAATAAATGAGGAGGCTTTTATTTACTCATTCTGGGGGCAGAGCACGTAACAGAGGAGCTCCTCAGAGCTCCTACACCAGAGATTGTCACTACTCCAGCACAACCGCTCGGTTCCCACCAGCTGTTTGCTCCTGTGCTGCTCCTCAGGAGATGCATAGCTCCCCAGTGAGAAGGGAGAACACGAGGTCTCCATCACCAAGGAGTGCTCAGCTCCCTGCTGACCTCTCTTAGCATGGCACTGGCAAGGTGGGAAGGACAAGGACACAGCTGAGCCAGGGAGGTAGAGGTTGGAGGCTCCATCACATCAGGAAGGTTTCGAGATCCACCAATAGACAGCCACATTTATCAATGTTAGATCTCACCTGATGGTAAACCACCCTCCTCCCACAGCACCATGGGAGCAGTCGTACAAGAAACTTGTAGGTCCTTCTGTCTACTGAAGCTGGAGGACATCACAGAATCATGGAATTGTTTGGGCTTGAAAGGACCTTTAGATCACCCAGTTCCAACCCCCTGCCTTGGGCAGGGATGCCTCACACTAAACCATGGCACCCAAGGCTCTGTCCAATCTGGCCTGAGATTTTTTTTCCCTTAATACCCACAAAACAGGGAAAACAGCACAATTTCCAAGGAGGAAAGCCACCTTTTCACCCACAAAACATATCCCTGGAGATCCAGCGAGCTGGGGTCTGGATGAGTTTATTTAGTTATGTATCAAGTGTTATTAATCCATTTGCTTCAAGCAAACCAGTGAGCAATGAAACTTTTTCTCTCTGTCCTGAAAACTGTGGGTTTTCCTCTTTGGCCTTGGGGATGACAAACAGAGCTCACAGAGGCGCAGAGCATGCACAACCCCCCTGACCCCATCCATCCGCTGCAACAGCATCCTGAGCCTGCAGCCCGCCTTTGTCTTACTAATAAAACAGGGAGGGTGCAGGGAGGTCCGACCCTGGACACCACTGTGGCTCCAAGAACACCAGCACATGGGCATGAGAAACTGCAGCCTAGAGGAGGGAACTGAATTCAAGCCTTGCATCTGAAACACAAGGTCACCTTTCCCCATAATCCCTGCCCTGCAACTCCACACCCATCTCTGGTGACAGGAGGTGGCCAGTCTTCAGCATATCCAATACAACACCATGTGGAAGCCCAAACCAGACTATTTAGGAGCAATTTAGCTCCAAATGAGATTGTTTTCTAATCCCATCACTAACCCAGCTGCCTATTCACACTTTTCTATCAGTCATCTGATAGCCAAAGTACAGTCCTATGCCTGAATAATTCACTGCAGGATTTGCATTCCTAATACATCTTTGAGAGGACCATGGCTTTGTGCTCTGATCCCGCTGAGATGGTCTCCTTTCCTGCCTCCACACAGGGAGGACCTTGGTCCACAGGGTCCCAAGCAAGGGAGGCCCATTGCCAGCCTCAGACTCGGGGGTTGGATTTATCCCTCTTTCCTACAGGAATGTGGGCTGCTCCAGCACTCATGGGGCTGGCACCGAATTTGGGCTGGCAGAAAAAAATGTGTCATAGAATTTATTTTGCACAGGAAAAGTCATTTTTAGTTTAGCTTTTTTCTTCTAAAGCAAGTTATTTCCTCTTCCCTGGCTCCATCCTCCCGCACCCCACTGAAATCATGTCTCATCTTGCAGAGGGGGGGAAAAAAAAGCAGCCAAACAACCCTCAGTGAATTATCTTGGCATGAAACCAATAGGTTCCAACTCCAACATATTGCCACAACACCTCCAGCACTGAGTATCCCAACCAGCTGCCACGGGGATGGGTGGCAGCACAGCCAAAGCAAACTGGTTTGGTTTTCCAGTAAAACATGCCTCTTTCCAGCTCAATAAAAGGCTGGTTTACCTTCTTGTACATGCACATTAGTGTATAGCCTCTTGCTACAGAAGCAGGGGAGGTCTCCTATAGGACTTGGTGGGTTGCTTATTGCCAGGGGTGAGCAGATAATTCCATATAGATTGGTTAAGAGAAGATGCTGCTGGCTCTATGGGATGAGGCTCTGCCCCTCCCATGGCATCTTAGCCCTGCCTTCACCCTTGTATATCTCAGTGCATCTCCTGCTGACTGACAGGGGTGGTGGGGTCCTATAAGGAAAGCAGCATGTAATCAGGTATTAAACCCCATACCTACATGTGCAGCATGGCCCAAGAGAGGGCTGCTGAGGCAGGAGGAATGCTGGCTTGAACTCCTCCAGGGTGTAAGTCTTTGCAGCTTTATTGATTGCTATTTTTAACAGAGCTGGGGGTTCTGCAGCTTCCTGGATCACAACAAATCCAAGGAAAAGCAGAATTTCACCCGCTGGCACTACCTGTGTAGTGGATGGCACGTGGGTGACGCATTTCAACCTCAAAGATTAAAGTTTTGCAGCCCCGTGAACAACTGGAAAGAAGCTCTGATAATGGGAAATGTCAGGAAACTTAATAACAAGAGAGATTAGCACCCTGCCTATAGCACATCACTGCTGCGTTCAGCCAGCCTTTTATATATGATGTCAACAGCTACATACAAGCTGTGAATAGTTTCCTATCTCCTCCAGCCTTGAGTCTCCAGGAACTTGACTGACTTCCCTAGAACTGTTTTGGATTTACACTGGCTCTGCTCAAATCAGAACTGAAGAGCCAAAGCAGACAGAGGGAAGCCAGCCCCACTGCTCCCAAACCAGAGGAGCGGGAGGATGGAGGAAATGCACTCTGGAACTCTCTCCTTCCTTGGCAGGAATATTCATCCCTTTTCCAGCTCAAGTAGAGCTGTGATTTACAGTGGTGGGGCATCAGGTCCTCTGCTTGCAGCTATGTGGGACAACAGAGATAATGCAGCTAGCAAAGACCTACCCCATTTCTAACCTCAGCAAGGATCAACTGCCCAGTTTCAGCAGGAGCAATGGGCAGGTTTTTCCTAACTGGACGGAAGGTGCGCACACTACAGGGAAGCAGCATCCTCTTGGATGGGGTAGACATCCCACCAGCACCCCAAGTCCCCACTAACCCACTCCTAATGCTGGTCTGTGAAAGCACATCACAAGCAGCATCGCCGACTCTTCCATTCACCTTCCCACTGCCATACCACATCCCTGCCTTTGGCTCCAGAGCCCGGCTTTCCCCATAATCCCTGAGGCACCTCAGCACATTCCTTAAACTTGTGCTAATGGATGGGATTTTGAGAGGGACGGCCCTTTAAAGTCTTCCCTGCTCTCCAAATAACCTTCTGTGGTGTTTAGGATTGCTCCTTTGCATATGATAGGTATAAAAATACACACAGAAACAAAAGAAATCCACTCCCCAAACTTTTTGACACCCCCACCCCCAAAAAAAATGGTGTGATCAATTATTCTGAAAAAGGCTTTTTATAGTTTGGACTCCATAAAGAACAGAATGCCTGATTTTATACACTATCCGAGAATGTGATGGTTTTCATTTCAGCACAATCAAGACCCAAATCTGTGTCTCCCTCTCCCTCATCTGAGCTGCAAATGGTTTTATATTCCATCTTGCTTTAAATTATACACATCAAGTTTCTAATGGGACACGGTCTATTTTGTTGCCAAAACCTGCTCTGTAAGATCATCTATTAAACTGTATTTATTTTTTATGACAAACAAGAAAAATGACAAAACAGCTACCGAGCGCCTGCTAACGAGGACCAAATGCCTCCCCAGGCACCATTCTCATTTCCAGGCATCCACACAGGAGCTGTGTTAACGTCCTCCCACCAGCCAGTGATGGCCAAAAGAAGACACAGGGCTTTATAAACCCCAGTATCAGCCCCTAGGGGATTATGGCTCTCGCTGTCTGCACTTGGGTATGAGATCTGGGGTCAGGAGTTTTATCCCTGTGTCTCCTATGGAGACAGGCTGAGAGATGGGGTTGTTCAGCCTGTAGAAGAGAAGGATCCAAGGAGACCTTAGAGCAGCTCCAGTGCCTAAGGGGCTAAAGGAAACCTGGAGAGGAGCTTTGGACAAGGGTCTGTAGGGACAGGACAAAGGGAATGGCTTTAAACTGACAGAGAGGAGATGGAGATGAGCTCTTAGGCAGAAGCTCTTCCCTGTGAGGGTGCTGAGGCGCTGGCACAGGGTGCCCAGAGAAGCTGTGGCTGCCCCATCCCTGGCAGTGTTCAAGGCCAGCTTGGACACAGGGGCTTGGAGCAAGCTGCTCCAGTGGAAGGGGTCCCTGCCCGTGGCAGGGGTTGGAGCTGGAGGAACTTTAAGGTCCTGTCCTGCAGCCCTGGGACACAACA